AATAGGGTTGTATTACAAAAATTACATTTTTACATTTCATGTAAATTTCAGAAACTTGATTTTCATGTAAATTTCACGCGTAATATGAAGTATCAGCATTATGGGAAACTTAGCTAGCAGTATAGACTTTGCATAAAGTTTACTGATCAAAAATTGATAACTATGACCCAACCAATCACATGGAATTATATAATAGTATGATTTCATTTCTTACAAATTACATGAAAATCACTACCGAAATTTACCCTAGTTCTGAATCAGAACAGATTCCAATTCGGGTACAACATATATATACTGTATATACGTCATAATTTAAATAATTTATAAATTTTTAGGAAAAGGTCTAAAGGATAGTAGGTTTCGTAAGGCAGCTCTTACATCTCTTGAACTCAGGCAAAATCTTGGGTATACTCAGTTAGAAGATGAAGAACTAATTGCACAAATGCAACAGTTTGAAGCTCGATTGCCACTATTTGATCTTCCTTATGTTTTAGGCACAGATACTTCAAAACTTTGGTAGAGATCTTTTAAAAATCAACCTTGACATTTAGCTGAGCTAGCCTATAGAATATTTTCAATTAATCCTATACAAGCTAGCTGTGAAAGAAATTTCTCATCATTAAAGTGGATTTTAGAAGATCGTAGAACTAATCTGGATATAAATAGACTAGAGAGAATATCTAAAATTAGATCTTACTATATGACAAATATTCGGCGCGAGCTTAACTATTCTAATAAAGAATTAGCAGAGTCAGATCTTTGACATGCATGTAATATATCTTCAGTTGGTACTGTTATGAATTATAAGAAGGATCAAATAAGAGTTGATGATGAGACTTTGTCATATAACATAGTATCTAATTATTTTCCAACTTTATTAATTGAAGAGATTATTGACTTGAAGACAAAAAACAATTCAGAATCTTCTGTAGTAAAAACAGCTCAAGTCGTCTTGCCTGAGGATTTAGATTATAATCCTTTTAAGGTATTAAATAATTTTTTAAAAGGTGAAAAGCAGGCAGAATAGTTTATACTGTATGCTCAATTTAATAATAAAGATCATCAAATAAACGTTTGAGGTTTAATAAATTCTACTACATAAGAAATTACAAAATATTTATATTTTAATATGTATGGTAAGACACTTTTAATACATATTAGTATTTTAGATTATTTTCTAAATTATGTCGATTAGGACTAACATAATACGGATGTATAATATGCTTCCATAAATTCTTCCCAGAAAGAATTTTCAATAGCTGTACATACATACGTACAGTACATAAAAGAATATCAGTCAGATAGAAAAACTGCTAATATATTATATTTACATTTTATTATGTAATAATTAACCTTTTAATCAGTCACATACAGGGTAAAAAGCAACAGAAGGAAACGTTAATGTTATACATTTATTAAAATCGGTGATGAATGATATCCATCACAATTAAGGTTGATATAAATAATCTGAATTGTAATTGATCACAGATGTGAGGGATTTACTTTGGACTGAATACGTTTCCTGTTGTAAAAAGCACTTCTATATAAGGTGAAATTATTACACTGCGATGTGTTTTTCAACCATATCACTTTTGTGAAGTTTAATAAATTTTTTTTAAAGGTCTTCCACGAACATAAAACATTATTTTGAGGAGTTAGATTTTTTTTTTTGAATGTTAGTAATAAATATATGTAATTATAAATGATGCAACATTTCTAACAAACATGATTTTTAAGATCATGTTTTAAAACATTTGCCATCTCTAAAAGTTCTATGCTAATCAGCCCAGAAACAATCAGCAAGCTTGTTCCAGTATTAAACATCATAAGTTCTAAAAAATGTAAACCATTTTATTTTAAGATTCAAAAGCTATCATTATATTTTGCTATAAAGAGGTTATATGTATAGAGTCGACTATATTATTATTTATCCAAATTAGTAAGTAAAAAGGTTAATATGTATTATCACTTTTCAGGTTGGGCATATAGTATATATATGTGTATACCCATTAAGAAAATTTCTACCCGGTATGATTAAAATACCTGGTTATCTGAGTAATTTATTATTGCTATGTTTACCTAGTTACAGTTTCTAGTTGCAATACATAATATGGTATATGACATTTATTATGACACATGACACCTATTACGACACATGACACCTATCACGTCATGCATCTCTATTACTACACTTACAGCATACTACCCTATTACCATATATGGTTTAACAGCAATATGACCCTGGGGTTGTACTACCTTCATGTCATAGCCATAATGCCGTAAGTAGTAACTACTCTAAAAAATGTTTTCATCTTTAGTTACTAGTACAAAAAAAATTACAGACAAACAAGCCATCTATATTACTAATACTATAATTATTTCTATCATTGAATACAGATTACATAACATCATTCTTAAACACTTCACTTGTGATAGCATTTTATCCAAATACCTTACTATGATCAAACATAAAGCTAAACTTTTTTGTATTAGCCCCAATAGCACTATGCTTAACTCTTATATATATATTATATATAATATCTAAGATATCCAACTACAACATTATATATCTTGCTTTTAACAAAGAATCAATGACTCTGAGATTCTTAATATTTCTACCAAAATTTGACTATAGCAACTTCAAAACAACCTTTGGTCTGCTACTAATATCCTTCAGCATAGCCAACTACTTATAAATAGATCTAATAACTT